TTTTGCCTCCTCTCGCCGGAGACGACCCGCGCGCGCATGGCCAACCTAGCGCAAGCCAAGGTGAGCCTGCAGAAAAAACTCAACCGAGCGGAGGCTCGACTGCTCGAGTACCTCAAGCCCACAGAAGACATCTGCGCGGACGATCCCGTGGCCAATACCATCTACTCCGGCGTTGACGATCTCTTTGCCGCTGGGCAGCTTGAAGAGAAGGCCGGCGAGCTCATGGACTCGATCTTCGACCTGTACATCAAGAAGAAGACGATGAAGCCCGAGGTCGAGAAGGCAGCCCGAGAAGAGTACAAGGCAACGTCGGCGACGTTCACAAAGCACGTCGTCGAGCAGGTCAAGCAGCAAGCGCTCGTATTCAAAGGCGACGCCAAGCAAGTACGCTACAGCCGGGACGTGCTGCGCCTTGCACTGTCGCTCACCCCAAAAGCGCGGTCGGATCTCAGAGCCAGCGGTCTCATTCAAATTCCCTCCAACGCGACATTGGCTCGTTACCGCAAGGCGCACAGTGTCAAGTCTGGCAGTTGTCGTGTGATGTACACGCGCGCCAACGAAGCGTACGCCGCGTACCAGGAAAAGCGAGACCCAAATTTCGACCGCAGCAAGCCCGTGGCCGTCTCGCTCATGCACGACGAGTGCAAGCTGACAGCGTCCAACATTTACATCAACACGAAGGACAACTCGATTGTGGGCTTTGTTGACGATGAGGTCGGCGACCTCGAGTCGCTGGCCGATATTTTTTTCGAGGAGACGCCGGTCAAGAAGGACCCCGAGGTCGCCCAAGTGGTCAACCAGTGGAAGATGCGCAGCGTTTACTCCAACTTCACGTACCTTGTGGAGTTCTTTGTCAGCTCCAAGGAGTTCAACGCGCAAGAGTTTCTCGCGCAGTTCATGCACGTCCTCCTCGGTGCCGAGCAGGCTCGTTTTGAGATCATCTGGATTGTCTCGGACTCGGGATCCGCCAACATGGCGCTTTTCAAACACTTGAGCTCGCTCGGCCACAAAGCCGCACCCCAAGCTGCTGCATTGCGTGCTCGAAAGCCCAAACCCGCAGAACCAAACGACGAGTCGTGGCTGGACGAGCAATTCGTCTCATTCGGCCATCCGCTCGATCCCGACCGCAAGATCTTTCTTTGCCCGTGCTGGACGCACTTGTTCAAGAGCTTGCGCAACCTCTTGGAGAACAAGAAGAGACACCTTGTCAACACGTCCGAGATCACTTGGGGCGTACTCGTGGATGCGCTGGCGCGAGACGATGACCGCCGGGCCAAGGGTCTTGTCGGTGACACAAGACTCATCAAGGATGCGGTGCAACCTGACGGATGGAGCAAGATGGACGTGTCGTTGGCAAAGCGGGTGTTCGACATCAAGACCATCACGGAGATCATATGCTACGCCAAGGGTGTCATCGAGAGTGGTCCCTCGTCCCCCAAGATCGTTTTTTGCGACGAAGCCTCTTTGGCGAGCCCCGGAAGCCGCCTTGCGTCGACCAACTGCGGCCCAAAACCGTGGGACACTACGATCGGTCGGGTCTTGCGTAATGTGCGCATCCTGCTTCAGTACGACTGGCCATCGGACGCTCGCGACCCTCGCCCAACCTTGGAGCTCATGGCCGTCATACACGAGCTCACATCTGCTTTTATGCTCGACACGACCCAACGCATCCATGCCGAGAACGTCGAAGCAGTGTCGCAGTTCTTCCAGCATCGCCTTGCATACTTCCACGAGTGGAAGAAACTTGTCGACGAGCGCAATCTGGCGGGCGATCCAACGTGGGACAAGCAATTCATGTCGAAGATCACGTACTTGAACTTGCGCCTGGCATGTCGAGCACCGGTGGCCATTGTCGAGTACCTCGTTGCGCGCGGTGGCCCTCACGGCTACTCACCCGTGACAGACTTCAACCAGAGCTCCATCGAGGCTTCATTTTCGGGTCTGCGGCGTCTGTACCCGAGCGACCTCACGATAGCAAACTACTCTCGGGGCGTCGCTGCATCCAGTCTCGCCAAGATCGACAGCTTGTACGGCAACAAGATGTACTCTGCGTCGGACATGGCCGAGGAGACAACTGGCGATTTCGTGTACAAGCCGTATGAAGTTCAAAAGAAGGAAGACGACGAGTTTGTCCAGAAGATGCTCAAAGCCAGTAAGGCCCCGCGTCAACCCGTGCTGGAGTGCCCATCCTTCGAAGTCGTCCTCGCCAACGTCGGCGAACGCCACTTTGCAGACATGGCGCGGCAATTCATTGTGCGCGAAGCCCGCCCGTCCCTCATGAGCTCGCAGCGCACGCAGTCGAAGTGGCGAGAGTACCTACTTTCCTCGCGCCAGATGCCCAGCGCTGCGTGGTTCGAGGACGTGATGAGCTTGACAACCGAGGAGCTCGAAGCGTGGGACAAGACGCTGCTCGCCGTGGTTCAAATGGCATTCGGTGCCCTTGCTTCGTACGTCGATGCTGCCCTCAAGACCGCTCCGTCGCGTACACTGCTATCACTGGATGCATATGTGCTCGAGCTCTACCCCGGCTACTCGACCAAACTCGGAGCCGCCTTTGCTCTCGCCCCTGAAAAGGTTTGGGGCACTCCCGTGGTCCAAACGATTGTTCTCGACTGCGTCGTTCGGCGCATGCGCGAATGGGTGAGCGCACGCATTCCTTGGTCCTCAGTGCCGAGCGAGCCGGACCCAATATCGACGAGAATTTGCGGCTCGTTCACGGATTTGTCGGCTTCGCGCTCAGAAGTGCTCTCAACCGACGATCAGAAGAGGTGGGGTCACTCCAACACCGCTGCTTGCTCGAAATGCGCGTGCTCGCGCACGACATCAAGGACAAGACGTATATGTCGAGCTACATCGGCACTCTCAACGAAGGCGGCTTAGCATTCCTCAACCCCGAGCTCATTGACTGGGCCACAGCTTTGATCCAGCTCGCGAGAGAGAGGTTGACCGTCGCAGACGGAAACGACACTCTACGTCTCGCGAAAGAGCATGTGCGAGGCAGCGAGGACCTGCGCAGCAAGTTCAATGCAGCGTGGAGTCGTCTTTTTGAGCCCAGCTCCAACCTCGACGTCAATGGAGTGTGTGATACGCTCGCTCCATTAACGCCAGGCATCGCGCAGCGCGATGCCCTTTGCCAAGAGCTCGGCCGCCGGGCCGGTCACGGTGTGCGCGATGCGCTCCGTGAAGACCTCGAGCGCACTGTGACAACCACTCTCGTTACTACCTTCTTGAAGCAGTACAAGGACGGCAAGCTTGGCCGACGG